GAGGAAGAAAAAGATATTTCTTTGTAATATCTTTGGACAGTATCTTTCAAAATTTCTGAATATCCTTAGCTGCATATTGGGCTGTGTGTGCAAGCATGTAGCCAGCAGCTTGGGCAAAGTGACTCTTCCCCTCTTCGGCACTTGGGACCACATCTAAAGTACTGTCTTTAAGGAGTCCCAGTACCGGCAAGATATTCACAGAGCAGTAGGGGTTGGAGGGGACCTCTAGAGATCATCTAGTCCAACCCCCCTGCCAGAGCAGGATCACCTGGAGTAGATCACACAGGAACAAGCCCAGGTGGCTTTGAAAGCCTCCAGGGAAGAAGACTCCACCACCTCTCTGGGCAGCCTGTCCCAGTGCTCTGTCACCCTCACAGGGAAGAAGTGTTTCCTCATGGTCAGGTTGAACCTTCTGTTTTCCAGTTTATGGCCACTGCCCCTAGTCCTGTCCCTGGACACCACTGAGAAGAGCCTGGTCCAATCTTCCTGACACCAACCCTATAAATACTGATAAGCATTGATAAGATCCCCCCTGGTCCTCCTCTTCTCCAAGCTAAACAGACCCAGCTCTCTCAGCCTTTCCTCATATGGAAGGTGCTCCAGGCCCTTCCTCATCTCTGTGTCCCTGTGCTGGACCCTCTTTGGGAGTTCCTTGTCCTTGAGCTGAGGAGCCCAGAACTGGACACAGTACTCCAGGTGAGGCCTCACCAGCGCAGGGTAGAGGGGGAGGATAACTTCCCTCGACCTGCTGGCCACGCTCTTAATGCATCCCAGGATGCCATTGGCCTTCTTGGCCACAAGAGCACGTTGATGTTCTGGAATGGGTCCAACAGCCACCAAGACAGTTAGGGGCTGAACTACATGGCGTACAAGGAGAGGCTGTCTGGATTTCTTCAGCCTTGCGAAGGCAAAGGGAAGATCTTGCTGATGCCTACAACAACCTAATGGGAGGGTGGTAGGGAAAACAGAGCCACACTGGGAAGATGAGGCAACAGACACAAGTAGGAACATGAGATATAAAAGAAACATTTTACACCATGAAGGTAGTCAAATACTGGAATGCATTGCCCAGAGAGGTTGATTAAAAGACAGTTTTCTAAATATTAATTAGTCCCTCTGTTAAAACAGTTTTTTAGTATCTGAATGAATTCTTGTTAGTAGGCCATGATACCCTCTACAATTTTGTTACAGTTGCTATAGAGTACTTTTGAGCATCTTCTGGAAAAGGTCTCTGGCAGCTGTTTATTAGTTTGTACAGAAGTAATTGAGTTTGTGCTTGATAGAACAAACCGAATTTTGGAAATGTCTGGTCAAAGCCTATTAAAGATCCCCAGCTATGTTCCTCAGATAAGGTATGGTCAACTGGTATGGCATGCTTAATGCAATAGTAGAGTTGTAAAATAGATCATACAATTTGTTATTCCAGTTGGGAAAAACCCAAATAAGGGCTTGTGTTCCAAAAGTATCACTTCTTAAATGTGTATCAGTTGATTCAATAGAAGGAATTCTCTGTGTGAGGACTTTGCTTCTATCTTTAGACTGTATTGGCTAGAGTAATACTTAGGAAAGCTTTAAAAGTGCTTTTTTCTTTTTTTTTTTTTCCCCTGAGCCGTCTAACACTCCTGTCATTATGGACACTGCCGAAATCTAGGAATTTGTTACAAAATGGTATGCTTGTCCTTTAATTTCAAGGGAAGTTATCCAAGATAGTATAGCTGGAGAGAATAATAATGAAAAGCATTCTGTGCTATCTCTTAATGGCAGTGGTTGGTCTTCTGTCCCTATTGCTTGCAGTTGTGGGGTGTGATCCTCTTAATTTGATTTTTTTTTTGGTGTCGTTTTTGTTTGTTTGTTTGTTTTCTTTCTCCCCTGGCCTTACCTTGAAGGGGAGCAATGTTGAGATAACATGAAATCCATCAGGGCATGGTATGTTGGAGCACACAGCTGATACTTCAGATAGGCATAGGGTTAGGGTGGTTACAGTGCGGCTGAAGGGAATAACGCCTTTGGCTGATGCTTGGTTCTGTTTGGGACATTCCTCTGAATGAAGAACAAGTCCAGGAGACCTGTGAGTTTCTTGACCTCTGCATCCACTCCCTACCTTCCCAGTGTGGAGCTGTGCCTAGGAACTTGCTGTTAATCAGAATTGCAGTTTTCTGTGATAATAGATAATCATAGTCAGGTTTTCTTTGTGGATTCCCTTACTTGCCAGTGATAAATTTCTTTGTTAACGCTCATTTTCATTTCATTACAACACTAGCAGTGTTATAGTCTTGCTTTTTCTGGGTGAATTACACTACTGAGTTTCTTTGGCTTAATAGAGAACATACCCATTTTCTGCTGAATGTTCTCTTTTCAGTTTTATATAGGAATGACATAGATGTATTTTTTTATTGATATTCTCACTGGGAGCTGCAAATACAGGTCAGACTGCACTTACGTTGATACTTGTTTGAACTGGCTAACTTGGAAGTGGTAATTTCTTTTTTGTCTTTATTACAGTAAGCAAAGATGGCTTTTACTTCTGACACAAAGTTTAAATGGTATCTCCTGTTATTTCTCTGGGATGCATTTTTTGGATCTTATATCTTGTATTGCAACTGATGAGAAGCAATGTGCTGTCTGTATGTATTACTTGCTTTTAATGGACAAGTCCCCATGACACATGTCAGCAAACGTTTAAGATGAGGAACAGAGCTCTTTAGTCGTACTGATCAAGTATGCATTTTAATTCTTGTTTTCCCCCACCCTGGGTTACTGGTTTTCTAGAAAGAACCATAAATATTATATGTGAGAACTGAAAAGCTGTGAAGCAGTCAGGGAGAATATTTTTGCACTGCTGGGGTGGATAAAAGAGCTACTGAGACTGTATTAGACTGAAAAGGCAGTTGTCAGAAAAAAACAAAAGGTCCAAGTTTCAAATGAGATTATTAAGTGTTGATAATTTGAAATGTTTGGTAGGATACAGAACAAATGAAACTTTCTCATTTCAAATTACTGTGTTTGATCAGATGCTGATACTTTAATGTGTCTGTCTTTAATAAAATTCAGAAATGGCTTTTAGGCACCTTTTTGTAAAGACAGATTTGGTCTACGTGCAAAGCGTAAATGGATCTACTGAATTACTCGCTGTTCTTACATACATTTGTTCTTTAATTTTTACTTAATGTTTTGGAAAGAGTTTGAATTTTCCCTTAGCATATAAGGTTCTCATCTCTGAACTTTTGTAAATATTTCACTATATGGTGATCTATATGACAAGGTGTGCACAGGTTGACCACCACGGAGGTTTTTTTGATGATGGTCTTGGAAAGTGTTGGGAAGAGAATTGACTTCAGAACGATGTCTGCCACTCAAATTAAGGATTTGTAAAATGGTTTTGGAACTTTGTTCTTTTGCAGCTTAATTCATAATAGTAATTCATAATAGTAGTGTTAAACACTGTTCTTTTTATAATTTGAAATATTTTTTAAACTGTGCAAAAAGCAAAAGGTGAACACTAGGAATCTAATTTGTTTTTCACTGTTAGCAATTTATATAGCTTTCTAATGAAAATACTAGCATTGATTTTTCAGTTTGTTTATATCTGTACACCGTTATCACAGCTTTTAAAATTATTTTATGGCATGACATTTCACTTAAATATAATTGTTTACTTGCAAATAGAAGACTTTTTAAAATGTGTATTTGGGTTCAAGGTAGGAACATTCAAAATAGAAGCCCAAAGCAAGTTTTCAGGGGTGCTTGATAGAGACAAAGTTATTTCAGAATTTAAATTGTGAGGGTGTGAGGGCATTTTCTTTAGGACATGTGTGTTTGAACTTACTCTAGTCCTTTCTCAAAGGCATTAGTGAGACACTGAATCACTTCTCTGTTGACAAGTGAACTCTGTATTTTCCCCTGTGGATTTTTGTTTGAGTTCTGAGCGTCAGAAAAGTTGTTTGGGAAATTAGTAAGAAGCAGCTACAAATGAGTAATAAACCTACATTTGAAAAAAAAAAATGTGGAATCAAAATTAGATACTAAACCCCCAACCACATATATTTATTCCTCCTGAGTGCTAGGTCAGCCTTAAATGTTGTGTAAAGTCTTTTTGACTAGTAGGATGATGGAAGTGGATGGTGGTAAACATTAAAGTTGTTGGCAGGAAAAAACAAAGTAAGGAATGAGAAAGCCTTGAACTTTCCGTTACCTAGATGGCTTGGAAATGACAGAACATATTGCATAACTACTTATATGGAGAAAATACATCTGAAAGCAGTGCTAATGATAGCACTTCACAGGGATTGCATTTCTCTTGCTCTGTAGACTGTAAGAAACAGTTCTGGTGGTTGTTACAGAAGTGGCTGGCTGCAGTTACTGATTTATTCCTATGAAAATAGGTAAGAATTACCTATTACTGGTGTAACACTTTTCTAAATATTATGACTATCTATGTTCTAAGATGCTACTATGAAGTTATAAATTAGCTTGTGTTCTGCAAGTCACATAGTCTTGTAATTTTGTGTCCTGTCCTCTGGGATGATACGGAACAAGGCAAAGGCTTTCATGGATGCCAGATTGAAGTGTCTTAAATTACTCGGAGGAGGAAGAGTTGTGCTGTTAAAATCTTGGAGAATTAGTTGTAAATCTGATGCTGTCAGGGGAATAGGAAACATTCACTGCTAGATGTAGAGCTGTGATTGACATCTTTGTAGTACAACAAAATCCCAGATGCCTCTGTGTATTTTGTAATGCAAGAGTTCTTCACTTCCCAGTGTTGCAAATGTAAGTTCTGTTGCATTTTACCGAAAGAGTAGGTTTAAGGCCTGTGATGGTTTTTTGTCTGTGACTTTTCAGCTTAATTCCTGAGAGAGGAATCTTCCCTCTTTCTCACCTTTCAATTTCACTTTGTATTAAAATTTTAAAATTAAACTACTTTTACCTTTCAGGAATTGATGAAATGTACTTTAGTATGCACGTTTGGTTTTGAACTTTATTTAGTATTTCAAATATTCTGTATGCTTTCTTTATAGAAACGGTTACAAAAAGAACTATTGGCATTGCAAAATGATCCACCTCCGGGAATGACTCTAAATGAAAAGAGTGTACAAAATTCAATTACACAGTAAGTATATATACTGTTTTATTTTTGCTGTCAAGCTGAAAAGTCTAAGTAATGAAAAGTCCTCTGTATGCCACTTCTACCTCTTATTCCAAGTAAATTTCTGGTGGTGGTGGGTTTTTTTGTCTAGGGAGTGAAACACTGTTCTGCTGAATGAGTGTATTGCAATAAAATGCCAGACACTCAGGACTGTGTAGTAAATTAATTATTTTTTTATTAGACATTTTGCTGTCTAGAAAATGTTAATTGATAAAAGTTTCTGCATATCTTAGAATAAAATAATTTAACAATCTCTTGTAGTTACTAACCTCTGAAACCCCTCTAAATTTATTGAAATAACGGAGTAGCTGGTTTAGAGTTTCTACATTATTCGTGTTGAGTATATTTTGTAGCTGTTGATTTCCATTACTTTGTTTCTCTAAAGCAAGTGGAGGAAGCTTCTTGAAGAGCAAAATGATCAAAGTAGATTTCTTTGCATTTTCTCCCTACCATTGTTTTTTCTGTGATTAGCAAAACAAAGAGAATAATGGTTAAATATTCTGTGTTCTGTCCATTGAAATGGACAGGTGTTGTTCCTGATATGTAAACTGGTATTTTAATTGACTGAAATTCAAAATGCTTGGATTGGGTGGACATTTCTTTTAGATAATTTTCTTACTTTAATTTTCAAGACATGTTAAAAAATTCTTAGCACATGTGAACTTTTATAAAAGTATGAATCTCAGGCTGTATCTTCTGTACTATATTATTGACTGATGGATCAGTTTAAAAACCTAACATAGAGCTGACTTGTGATGTTGCTTCATACCTGCATTTTTGGTGGTGGCACTCAGACCATGTTACATGGGGCTTTTGTGAGCCATCCATATACCGAATTAAACACTGCTGTTGCTTTTTAAATGGTGCTGGATTTTGTGACAGTTCATGCTGATGAATATGACTAAAAGAAATTGAAATAGCACTTTCCAGAATTTGGAATAAATAATAATAAACTGCTGTACAGTTGCTCACTTACGGCTTGTGTTTCTTGCTTACTTCGGATTTTCTTTGGAATATACTTAAATTTTCTGGAAAAAAAAAAAACAACCGAAACAACTGAAACTAATATTGCAGGTGTTTTTCACCCATTTAAGTAAAACAGCTATTAAGTGAAAGCTTACAGCAGAGGAAAAGAGTAAAAAGGGGAGGGAGGGGAAACCACCAAAACCTGGGTTGCTTTTTTCTGTTTGTGGATTTCCATTTTTCTTGAGATATCTCAGTTTCCAGAGTACTACCTTGTTATTTCTTTTCCCTATGTATAATTTTTATATCACTGTTACAAATAACTTCCTGTTTACTGTCATGCTAGATTTTGGAGTTGTCACTGTTTAAGAAGCTTTCTGTCACAAGTAACATCCTATTTTTCCCTTTAAGGATTTTTGATGTGAAATAGCATGTTCCGAGTTCATTATTCAAGTTGCAGTTTGAACTGGTGCAGTAAAGATTTGTGTAGCAATACTATCTTAGTTTTGAAAGATGTTGAATAAAATAATTGGATCCCATGATGTAACTGGGTCATTTGAAATGTTAAGCAATCCTCTATTTTAAATACACAAGGATTAGAAACTTGAGACGGCTAAACCGTAAAGCACACAGGAAAGATGGGGTCTAGTGATTCCTTGACCATAAAAGGAGCAATGTCCAGGCAGAGATATCTCCTGCTTAGTAATTTAAACTCTTAACTTAAAAGTGAAGGTTCTGGATCGCGAAGACCAATAAAGGTGAAGAGTATTGGTGCAGCATGTGTATAAATGTCATAAGAAGAGATAAGTGGTCTGGAGTGCAGATAGATAAAATTGAAGGAGTCTTCACAAAATTAAAATATGGGACATGAGTACAGCCATCATCCTGCTGCTGTTGGAGATGTACTCCTCACGAAGGGTGTGACACCTAGCAGTTCAGTAGAGAAGCAGTTCATAAATGTGCACAGCTTAAATACATGGGGAGAGTGTATACCACAGGAACATGAATAGGTTGGGAAAAGGATCATCAGAGTGCCAGCTGGAGGGGACGTTGACTTTTATGTACATACTGCTGTTCTGGAAAGTCTCAGCTGTCTCACTTGAGTCTAATGTAAATCATATCCGAGCATTTTTGTAGTCTCTTCTGAATCTGTACCTTACTGTATTGCTCAAATATGTAAAATTCAATCAAGGGTAGAAAGACAAAAATGGGGAAGTGATGCCACGAAGAACTGTGTTAAGTGATCAACAGCAGAACTCCAGCGTCACAGATGTGAGATGGCAGCGTTGCCGTACGTGTTTAACAATATGCAAGGCATCTATTTTTGACTGGATTGGAAAAAACCCAACCAACAGCCCCACCCAAAAGCAACAACCACAAAACTACAACCAACACTCCTCACCCCCAACGTTTCCACCTGTCAGTTACTTCCATGCTATTATGATGGAAGGAGCAGAAGCAGAGGAAAAAATACTGATATGTTCAGGTGTTACCTTTATTACAGTTGTTAAGTCATCCTTTTGTTCTTGTGATTGGTAATTGATTTGATTACTCCTGTGCTCCAGGAGTAAAATTATAATTTGCCACTGCACAAGGCTAACAACTTCTTCCCCATTCCTTAGGTGGATTGTAGACATGGAAGGTGCTCCAGGAACACTATATGAAGGGGAGAAATTTCAGCTTCTATTTAAGTTCAGTAGTCGGTATCCTTTTGATTCGCCTCAGGTAACTGGTTTCTTACTTCTTGGTCAACAGTACCTTTAGGTTATAGCTGCACGAGACATGCTGAATATTAGCATTGCCCACGAAGCCCAATGCGAGGTTTAGTTACTTTAATTTGTATTAAACACATTGTGCATGTGTCTTTTCTTTTAAAAATGACTCTCCAGTGTGGTATAATGCTGTGACGGTCTACTTGGTGTCATAGGAGATGAAAGAGTAGTGTGAACTGGAGGCTTCTTCAAAATTGATGCAAATGTCATATGAAAGAGGAACACACGGTAACGTAGGGAGGTCTGGAGTAGACAACAAACTGCTGCTTTGTCCCCTCTCTTTTTTGCTTCAAAGTTTTTTTTCTAGCTTATTTTTAAGTCTCTTGCATCTTCTCTGCTGCCATTGTTAATACAGCTGGGAAAATGCTGTGCTTGTGATAGGGATTCTCATAGACACATGGCATCTTTGAGAGGCCTGCAAATCTCGTGGTTACAATTGAGGTGTGAGATACTGTAGTGGTGCCTCTGTGGCAACGTAAACAGCTGAAGGGACAGCAATATTACTAGGCTGCAGAATGAGCTCTATGCGTCCATCCTTTAGTTTAACAGGGAAATGTTACAAAACGTGGTTGGGAAGAGTAGTGTTCAGCTATCACCCCTGCTCTTGTGAAAAAGGAAGAAAAAAGCAGGAGTGTCTTAGTGCTTGCCCTGTCTGTTCCAGCACCAGGTTCCAGGAGTGATCTCTGACACTTTTCTCATTTGTGTTGAAACTGAAGCACAGAGCAGTGAGTGACAGTCATAAATGTTACGTAGTTTTAGGTACCACAAGTGAAAACTAGAATGCCTTTCAGTCTTGGGTTTTAAGGAATAAAGTGACCATCTGTACTTCTGCACTCCATCAGGTTTGCAGTGAACTGCTTATAGGTGAGCCACAAGAGAGTAGCCACGCTTCCATTTGGTTCCAGGAAGGTGGTCCTGTATGTACTCATTATCCAGCCTCTGTGTGTGGCTCTGTGCAATTTATTGTGAAACAGCAAATGAGATCTGTACATGTACACTGATTTTTAGCACAGAAAACAAGTAAGAATTCAAGTACTGGATACTTGATCGTTGTAGATAGCTAGGATTTCCAATGTAAAAATGCTGCTGTGCAGTAAGTTCATTCTGTATCACAAAACTTGGGGTCATAATTCTCTCTCCTGCAAATCTACTTATTGTGAATTGACAAGTTATGCTTTTGCTGCTTAATCGCTTGGTTGTTTTCTGCCTTTAACTGTATGTTGTCTGTCAGTGTGCACACTTTGACTAGCAAGTATGCCTGGTTCTGGTTTTCCTATAAAAGGAGGACGGTAGTTAGATGTGAAATACATTACTGGTTTATGAATGTAAAGTCTCTGATGCTTAAAAAAATCTCAGTTTAAAGACCTACAGAAGATCCAGCTGCATCCAGCTTTTCTGTTGCTTTAGAAACTATCTGCCATTTGGTAAACAAGTGAAGCTCTCTAATTTCTGTCTCCTATACAGTCAAGGTGTTGCTTCTTGGTTTAGTCATTGTTGAGGTGGGTGTGTTGTGTACATGTATACATATTTGTACACATACATATATCCATATAACTTAGGAAACACTTAAGAGAGTCTGGGTATTATGGTTACCAGTGGTAGAGATGTATTATGTCATTGCCTAAAAGATAGCAGTGGTTATGTTGGATAAGGAGCTCAGGAGGATAATGCTGCTATCAAGGTTTCACTTTTCCTCCATTTCCATTAGTCCTGAGCCAAATATGTGTTTGACCAAAAACTTGATGTAAGAGCAGTAGCTGTCAGAATTGCTTTTCTAACCTTTTTGTGACTCTGATCTTCTCTTTTAATACAGGGGAGTTAAAGTTCTAAATGCTGTTCTTTCATGTTTATCCATGTCAAATAAAAACATATTCCATTTGAAATAATGATCTAAAAATATTTCCTATATGGTAACATACTTTGCTTTTACAAATCCTTTATTTTATATTTAGTAGGATTGATGCATTTTACTCTTTATGCTGGAACATGGATGAGTTGTCCAGAACTGAATTTCTATTGTGTCCAGGGTTACAGAAATGCTCATTTGCGAATTTGTGTTTCCTGGTGTAGAATGTTGGTGCTTAAGATACCATTAAAATTCAGTGTTTTGGCTAGGCCAGCTGTATTCCTTAGAACATGAAAGACTGATAGATGAAAGATAGAAGAAGTTTAGTTTGATGTCTTTACACTATGGCCTTTGCATTTTCTGATGCTGCACAAATATTCGTAGGAAAAAACCCAAACCTACATTTAACCATTTAACTTCATTGACACTGGCTATTTGGGCTTCCATTGGTTTATTTTACATTTCAATTAATAGCTTCCTGAAAGGAATGAACCTAACTTGGTAAAGTGTATTATTTAGTGTAAGTGAAAATGGCAGATCCACTTCTTAAATAAGATATTACTGTTCTCCCAAAAGCAGTAGTCTTACTTAAAATGTGAACAATAAATTACAATTATGTTTGTTCTTTTTTTTAGGTCATGTTTACTGGAGACAATATTCCTGTTCATCCTCATGTTTATAGCAATGGTCATATCTGTTTATCCATTCTAACGGAAGACTGGTCTCCAGCTCTCTCAGTGCAATCTGTTTGTCTTAGCATTATTAGCATGCTTTCCAGCTGCAAAGAAAAGGTATGGGCTTTTTCAGCACTGGTGGAGTAGAATAAGTAAAAGTTAATAGTTTTCTACTTTGCAAAGTGAGAATTTAATTTCTCAAGTTATAATATAGGCAAAACTCTTATATCTACATTTCTACTACTGGAAAAATACTGAGGTAAAACTGCAAAACAAACTGTGCAGTAAGTACTTTTATCACTATTTTCATGGAACCCTTCTATTGTACTAATTGTGAATTTAAGTCATGTGTCAGGACAATTCTTTGTAAATTGATTCTGTCTCTAAAGGCAGTGCAAAATAACTGGAATGGCTTTAGTGCAGATGTTTGTAGGGCTTGGCAGCTATACTGTTGCAGTGATCTTGATCATTTTGATTTCAGGAAAGTAAAGGGTGTTACGTTCCCTTTTTGGTCATAGATGAGCGACACTGATACCTTAGACCTTTCTGTAAAGATGCTGCCCTTTTCTCATGACCATTTCTTTCGCAGTGGAATATCTGTGGAAGTTAGATGTGGTCAGAGCTTGTACATCTGTGCTATCCAAACATGCCTATTTGTCCCATCTCAGTCAGTCCTAGCCACGTGTGTGTGGTAGAAAAACGTCCCCCAGATGGTTTTGTATTGTATCCTGTGATTTTAGTTTTGCATAACGATGACCTTGTCAAGAAAGCTTGAAGGATATGAAGTATTGATCAAATATAGATGTTTAAGTTCATTTTTTTCACCCACTCCAAGCTGAGACTTAATGGATGGGAATTGGAGCTAATATGCCAGAATTAGATTCCAAACTCCAAAGGAATTTGGGTTCCTTGAGCATCTGTTTGTTTCTTGTGATTGTGGTGTTTGTGTGTTGGTGGTTTGTTTTGGGTTTGGTGGGGTTTTTTGTTGTTGTTTTTAATTTATTTCTCCCTCTCTCCTTCTCTCTCTCTCTTTCCAAGCCATTTGGTATTTTTCAGTAAAATTTTGCTTGGAGTATCTCCAGTAAGAATTGCTACCTGGATCCTTAACAGGCTTCTTTTGACAAAGGCCTAGCCCTGCCTGTTACGCCATTTTCACTGCATTCACGTGGTAGCCTTTCATAGCTAATTAAATAGCTCCTGTAGTACAATATGAGGATTGTTTGATTATTTGTAGGTCTTTTCTTCTGTTGCAGAGGCGACCTCCAGATAACTCATTTTATGTAAGAACGTGTAACAAGAATCCAAAGAAAACAAAATGGTGGTATCATGGTAAGTATTTAATTAGGAACAGGAATTTTGAAGACTTTTTTTTTTCCAGGCTGAAAGAAATTAAAATGTAGGAAAATAGGATAAATGCAGTATAGCTTTAAACTCTTCTTAAATTAAACAAACAAACAAAAAAATCCTGTTCCTGAGATACTCTGCTGTGATTTTTGGTTTATAATACATTTTAATAATGCCTGATGGAAATTCAAACAGCACAGATTTACGTGTTTTAAATTGTAGCATTGAATTTGAATGAAAGTTCTTGTAAACTTGTCCATGACTAGTCTTAAGTTTGGGGTTGGGAAAGGTCCATAATGAAGTTAGGTTTAACTCTAATTCCATTTCTTTTTTGTTGTTAATGCTTTAAGAGCTTTTACATGATTAAAAGATGCTTATATGTTTGTAAACAGCTATGTGTTTTAATAGATTTCCACTGTTAATCAGCATTTCCAGTGTGAAACAGTTGACTGACTTAAAGGATCTTAAGAACTAATAGTCAGTAATAGGGTAATAAGATCCTACATGTACGTGATAAAAAAAAAAAAAACCCACTACAACCCAAAACCCCAAACCCACATACTAAAATTGCTACCTATAGTGTTTCAGTGTCTGCAGTGCTAGTGGTGTGTGGGTTTTTTGTTTGGTGTTTTTTTTGTGTGTTGTTTTCTTTCTTTCCCCCCCCCCCATGTGCTCTCTGCCTGGCTTTGTACTGTGTGGTTTCTTTCTTCTGCCTCAACATTTGTCTTCCTCTTCCCGGTGCTGGGGTTGACTGCATGTGCTTGTCTTACCCACTCCATTGGTGAGGAAAGAAAGAAGGATGGGGTAGAGACAGGGTATGCTTTTCTTCTCTCCTCTCTTGTTGGCCAGTACTTTCTTTGCTTTCCCTGGGAAAACACTGTGGGTGGGAGCCCATTTATTTTTGGAAGGGATGTGTTAAAGCAGGTGATGTGTGCTACCGTATGCTAGGGTGGTGCAGGAGGAGTTGATCCCATCGCTGCCTTTCAGTGAAGGCTCCTTCATAAGACATGCTCTGTTTTTTCACTGCCTCCCCACCCCAGGACATGTTCCGTCCCCTACGTGAAATGAGACCAGGTATTGTGAGATAGTGGGAATTAATGATGGAGAGACAAATCCTAAAGCCTTCCCCCTTAGATTCTTAGAAGCCTGCGGGTGCCTTAGCAAGAAAAACTGGAATTTCATAATACTTCCTGAGACCCATGGGTTTTTGATATATGGTAATTCTAACAGAAGGAAACTATTTCTCACTGTCATGGTTCAACCCCAGTCAGCAACTAAGCACCACACAGCTGCTTGCTCATAATACTGTAATAGTATCTCTACAACAAGGTGTCGTCGCTCAGAGTAAGAGGAGTGCTGTGTATCATGGAATTAAGAGGTATTTAAGAAACTCAGGACTGCAGTGTGTGTGATGGTACATTATGTTATTTTTAAAATTAACTCCAAGAATAATAATCCTGTTGCCTGCACGGCTGAGTTTTTCATCTTCACCAGATTATTCAGTAGTAACTTTCTCTTCTCTTTCTGTTTTTGCACTCTTGTAATGTGTTTGCTTCTCCTTTTCTAGTTTCGCTTGCTCTTTATTGGCAATTTTGGGAGTGTTTTAGTAGCTGTTTTTACTTTCACTTGCTCATTATTTTTAAAAAGAAACAAGTTTCATTTATTGGCTTTATCCTGTGATTAAAATATGTTCTGTCTACTTTGAATTTGTGCTATTCTCGTTTTGATTCAGGATTGAAGTCTTATCAAGAACAATCTGCAGATACTACTTTCATTTTCTTATTCATGAAATTCAGTTTCAATTAAGCAAAACACCAGATGAGTAGGAAGAGAAATATGTGGGTTGTCTGACTCTGAAAGTTGCTATGTAATTGTGGCTCAGAACCACCAAGATGCTTATAGTTCACTGAACAAGTAATTTAATTAATTTGAAGTAACTACGCAATGACTGTTTTCTGAAAGTCAGAAAACCCTACTCATCCCCAAATTTGGAACACCCTAAAAACCAACTTGAGGCAAGAGAAAGCAAGTTCAGTTATTTAAATAACTCGTATACTTTTGCTTTGTAATGTTTTACTTTGGTTTTTAACTTCCGTTTTAAGTACTAATTACAAAGGAGGTAATGATTAAAAGTTCTTCGGGCTTCCCCTCATTAAATTCTTGCATTAAAATATAAAACATTCCTGATGTCCATTGGACAAAAGTTTTCTTAAATGTTAGACAGTTTTTCCTTTAAGTTTTGCATGTCACTTGCTCCTTCTGACAGTTACAAGTAATTTTGTTTCTCTTCTGTGGATATAAAACAAGGCTGTCAAGGCATGCTCTTTAAATTTTCAGTGTTTTCTTAATGGATTGGAAGAAATGGTGGATTACACTAAAATGGGAAGTGTAGCTTGCCTGTGGATTTTAACGACCTCCCTGGAAAAGACCTGTATTCAATGTTATGTACACCTGAAAAGGTTTACAGGCCCTTGGGAAAGGTGTTTCTGTCATCTTCATTTTCTGCTCTTGCTTTAAATAAAATGTCACATATCTAATACTGTGGTTGAACCACTTTGGGCTTGGTAAATTAGGGTAGAAAAATCAATCCCAACAGAAAGAAAACCATCCGTCCAAGGGTAACCACTGGGTGTAATAAATGCCAGTGCTAAGAGAAGAACATGTGGAGGGAGATGCAGAGGGGTTCTGCCCCTTCTCTTGTCAGCCAGCCATTGGACTGGCTTCACTTTAATGTGAAATTGAATCCCTGTGTTTTGAAGAGAAAGGAGGAAGCCTGTCATCACTTTTAATACATTCATTGGAAGGATTTATTTTTTTTCTAGTAAGTGCCTGGAATTTATTTAGCTGGGACCAGATAATGTGTGGCTGGGGGCTGATGTATACAAAGATATGAATGCAGAGGGATAAAGTGAAACCTTGAGATATATTCTGACATGTAGAAGTATGCCTTTGTGGGTTTACCTTATTTTACACAGCTCTTAATCTCTCATTTCATCCCTGCCCCAACAAAGGAACTTATTCCATAAACAGAGTTATGGAGCCTTGTTTGCTGACATCCTCACAAGCCCTTTTTCAAAACTCCTGATCTTGAATAACTAAAAATATTTCTAGATTTTCTGCCCTACCCAATGTCTGCTTCAACTGTACATTGAATTTCATGTTGAATTTCAATCTGAGAGTTGATCATCTGTTAAAGACAGAGGAGAAGCTTCCAGATAGTTTTCTTGAGTGTCCAGGCTGAAATTGGATTCATAAAGATGTTGCCTGGCTTTACTATTGTTAGGAGGTAGATTTTTGTGAAAAAAGAGGTCAGTGGTGGTTGTTTTAAACCAGGACCTCCTTATTGGTTTGGAATGGATGGTGGTATTTTTTCTTTGTGGGTTTTTAAGTAGGAAGTGTTTTCTGTTATTTGGCCTAAACATTTAGTATGCAGTTTGAATATCCCTTCTCTCTCTTTGGCCTCCTTGTCCCTTTTTTTTCACAAGTACCCTACCATCAAAGCGAAGAGGTTTTTTACATGCAATAGTACTGATGACATAATGTTTTCCAGTGAGAATGTAGGATCATTTGCTGCTACTTTATACATACTAAATCTGTAAACAGTAAGAATACTGCTTGAACTTACCTTTTTTTTTTAGGTGTGTGAGGTTACAAGTAAGTGCGTTAAAACCAACTAGACAGTAGGTTTGCTTTCTGTTAACAAGCTTAAGACTTACTGTTACCAGAAGCAAATATACTGCAGAATTGATGTGTGGAGGGGAAAGTTCAAAAGGGAGCGCTTTCATGGACAAACACTTACTTTAATATTGAGCATAAGGCAGAAAAGATTGACGTAGAACACGCTTTTTGGTAATGTGTTCTGTCTAGTCACAGCATCTAAGATGTCGTGAATGTAAGTTATTTTTCATGTTTAAGATTTTAGGATTATAGTAGTAATATATTATTTTTGCATAATTCTGTTAGATATAGTTCGTGTTGATTCTTAAGAAATAAACTTATACATAAATTAATATACATAATGTACATAATACATATGTGTGCATAAAGGGTTGAGAGTGCATCAGGAGAGGCCCGCTCTGCCAGCTCTTACCCGGTGTAGTCCTTATAAAAGGATTTCCCAATTCTGTAAGTGGTGTGGAGCCGTGGTACTTCAAAGGCACATAACATTAAGTGTATTTGGTCTTTCGTTTCCCTGATGAGTGGCTTTGTAAATACTGAGTGTGGAAATTCCTCTCCTTTTAAGGGAATGTTTGCTAACACTGATATGCTTGGGGGTATATGTGTGTTTTGGAAGTTGTGTGTTTGATACTCTCTTCTTTTTCCCCGAGTCATTATTGAACAGAAGTGCAGAATTACTCACTCTGTGCATTTCCCCTGCGTGTGACTGTCCGTGCTAGGAATTGTCTCTGGGTACAGCCCCTTGCTGATGTGGACTCCGAATGTTTATAAGTTTTCCATAAATGCTCTTTTTTTATTTTGAAGATGACACATGTTGATGCCACCGTTTTGTGATCCTCGTAGCAGAAGATAGTCCTACTGAGAAAATGAGCACTTTGATCATTCAGTCTTTGAACTTTAACCTTTGACTGGAAGTGACCTATAGGCAATGAAGACTACTTCCTTTGACTGCATTTTTACTAGTGTGCATTCTGGGCGCATGTTGATCGCTGGTTCAGTCCATGCAACTGACATGCTTTTATTAGTCATACAGTATTAATGCAGGTGTCCAGAAATGTCAGAATAATTCCATTATTTTTTATTTTAAGCTTTTGGAAGAATTCCAGGTCTTCATATATTGTGCAATAACACTGAGCTCCTTGGCGGTTTTGGTGCATCCGTTGCCGGCAATGGACATTGTACCAGGGAAAGTTTTTGCTCCTGCCACACAAAAGATGGATGCATGAAAGAGCTTAGGAAAGTTTCAGATATATGGATTATAAGCAAGGGATCTACCATTACCTTAAAAGCCACCCCATTATTTTATATTTGGATTCTATGCACTGTGATCACAAAACTAGCAGCATGAGTTAACATGCTTAGCTGAAGGACTGTAATAAGATCATCGCATATTTATTAAACTGTTTATCTGCTGTCAAATTGTTTTGACATGGAAGGTTTTTCAGGCGACATTGGCAGAGAGGTACAATGTTATCCCTATGGTGAAATAAAACTACTTTTTTGTATATAGTTATTCATATCTCTGAAGCAAAGGTATGAGTAATTTAGGGTATGAGTGATTTAACCAAGAATTTATTTTGGAGATAGGAGAGGATGGCAGTGATATAACTGAATTTGCTGCAGTCCGTAATTGGGCTTGTAATTTGTACTTTAGAGCTTTTTCCAAATAGATTGCACACTGTTATTTCCTGCTAGCCATCAGCATGAGCCCTACTGCCTACACCAATGTTTCATTTATTTATGTGTTTGAAAGCAATCCATTTAACATTTTTTGTTTGCATTCACTGTTTCTTTTGTTGTTGTATGTCATGTTTGAATGTTACAAAACAATATTTTGATTGAAAAGCTTTGTCAGAAGGTATTTTCATGTAAATTATTTCTTTATCTTGTAAACATCATCTTGTCTTTTAATCCTGTACTATAAAAAGAAAAAAAATACATTTTTGACAGAGGCTTAATGTTTTGACAAAAAAGTGTGGACCTTCTTATTTAAGTTTAGACTAAAGTATATTTTCTTAACTTGCTTGTCCCATGCAGCCATACCAGTTGTTTTTTTTCCAGGCTTTTGCTTCACCAAAAAAGGGGAAAAAGCCTAAAATCAGATTGACATTTTTCTATGGAGCAACATTTATTGAAATAATAGTTGTTCTCACCACTCCATAATATTTTGATACTGCAATTAGGTTGTCTTTTTAGGAAGCACTTTTATAAACTTAATACCTTTACACATATGCAAAATTTCTATAACTTTTTTTTTACTGTTGCCTTATAGTTGCACTCACAAAAAAAAAATCAAGCGATTAATGCATGAATGTCTAAATCAAGTAACTGCTTGATTTAAAAACAAATCAAGAAAAGAAAAAAAAAAAAAAACCAACCCACCCCAAAATTGGTAATGACAATAACAAGCAGAAAATTGGCTGAAAAAACCCTGATTTTTTTTTTCTTACTGCTGTATGATAATTGATGAGTTTTATAGCCTTGTACATACTTCTCTGTTACCTAATGTTTAAAACGTTTTTAAAAAGTATAGATGCTTAACTCAGGGTGGATAGAGTTCAGATGGATTTGCTTCAGAGAAGTGTTTTGTACAGCAAATGATTTACCAATATTGCCAGCGAAGTGAGGCTACAATATACTTCAGGAACTGCTATTTTTTCTACTGTATTGAAAAATCTCTTGGCCTTTAAAACTCAGTGGTAAAATCTAGCTTTGGATATAAATTTGATGTGTGTATATATTTTCACAACGAGCCTTTAAAACATCGAAAACAGTTTCTTTTCATAGCCAAAAATAGTCATTTAAAGCAAATTAAATAGTCTGCTCCTAACTTTTTGTTTAGCAGAAGTTTATTGTTGTGAGAGTTAATCAAACTGGTTATTTTGGGGTACGATTGATAAGAGAGAGCAGTAATCTGATACTCAAGTCTCCGTATTCACGTTAACTGCTCTGTGGATTAAAACGATTGACGCGTCTGAGATATTCATGCATGAAGGGTTCACGTAACGGATCGTGTCACGTAGCTCACAGGAAAGAGACCTTACTGTGACACAAGGTAATGTCTCAGAAGAAACGGTTCAAGTACATCGTCTCAGATTCATGCATCTTTCCATACGGTAGCTTTCCAAACTACAATACATGGTTTCGGAGGAGCTTTATGACTTACTGTCTGTATTTTGTTGAAGATGGGTGTTGTAGTGCAAAGGATTATATGTTTTATTGACCTCTGCTATCACATGGACTACAGTGAAGTTAACCAAATTCATGCTGCTCTTCAATACCCTCCCCTCCTATAATACACTTAGATCCAAAAAATGCAGGGTAGATTAGAAGAGAATGTACCTCAGGTCTTTCAGTTTACAGTAGAAACGCCTCCATTGGTTCTCTTGTAGATCTGTGGGTAAGTTCACCTATACGCAGAGGGCCAAGACAAAGCCTGTATACCACTCAAGCCCTCAAAATAATGTAACTATTCTGACAGTGCTACGATGTCCAGAAACAGGGCTTGAATTAGATGAAGGTGGTGCCATCCTTTCTGTAGGGTGACCCTGTGTATGTAACTTTCGTTCACTTGGAATTTCTCACGTGAAATGGTTACAGAATTGGCATGAAATGATCTTGCTTTTTTTTTTGTGTCAATGTTCATGTTGTTAAACACTTTGTTTTGTGTTTAGTGTCTTTATACTATAACACAATAAATTCTCATTTTAAAATAGTTTACTACCCTTGAATGGAAATACGTGTGGACCTTTTCATGCTAGAGTGCCGAAGCACTGTTCCTTACATTCATCTACTCTTGAGACAAAACTTTCAGTCATTCCAAAGTGCTCTGATGGATATCAAGGGAGGAATTTGGATAATAGTGAGGTGTTTCCTTTTTTTTTCTCCAGAGGCCATCTGTTGTAACAGCTGAAGGAAATGGTTTCTTGGGGGGGGGTTGGGGGGGTGCGGAATCACTAAGATGTAGTGCTTTCATTTCTCACAGATGATCAAATAGTTCCTTATCATGGTTCTCTGCCCTTTGACAAATGCTTCAAATATTGAATGGGGAGTTTCAGATGCAGGATTCTTGTTTGCTTACAGTGGTGGGAAGAGAGTTTCTATTACTTTGTTAGCATAGTCAGGACTGTTAAATGAATTGTCTGCTGCCTTGTATCAGTAATTGCTTTCAGTTTTGTACTATTTTTTTATTCAAGACGTGAAGGCTTCTGTTTTGGAAAAAGTAAGGCACGTCTTGCCTAAAAAACCTATTTTTGTGAAAGACTAAGTTATTAATTCATATGTTATGAATACTGTTTCGGATGTTTGATTTTTAGTTATTACTTTATCTGAAAGTGACAAAATACAGTTCGCATCTCAGGTTTTAAAGGTGTGGTCTAAAGAGGCCATAGAATTCCCACATCGGTAAGTAAATTTTAAAGAACATATTAAACAAATGTCTGCCAGGAAGGGTTTAAATCTAAATGACAATAAGACTTCGCAGTCCTGTTACTGGTGATTTTTTTCTTTGTATTTGTAAATATTTATTAAAGTGAATAATGTTTTAAAAACAGGGGGAAAAAAAACCCAAACCCCACCTGTGGCACTCATGTTTCTTATCAACAGGAGATGTTCTATCAAAAGATTTGCGATAATGCAGCTATATAATTTCTACCTTTGGGGCCAATGTAGTTTTGGGCTCCTCTCGTGAAGCAATTCATGGTTGTGTTGTGTTTGCCCACTCTCAACCCCTGGTCACTGGGGAGGGGAATGGTTTGAACGAAATTTTCAGACCAGTTGCATTTCATCCAAATCACTCAATTCATCCAAATCACTCAAATTTGAATTTTCTTTTATAAGCAGTGGTACCCGAGTGCTGAACTGGATAAGGGGAATTAAGCTGCCTTAGTGATATTCCATTTTAGGCTGCAACTATGCAGCAGGATGGGAAGAGAGGGTTGGGATTTGGTTTGTGTGCCAGGTATTTGTTAGCCTATTGTTTCTAGGATGTCTATGAACTTTCTGAACCATCGGGCTTTCATAAAATTAGAAGAGTAGAAATATCATGAGCCTTATGTTAAAATATAACTCAGAAATACAAAGTAAAAAAAAAACTTTGCCACTGCTTTTATTTAATTTTATTGATAATAGCAATGCAGAATATTCTGTTAACTTGGCATAATTTTTTTCCCCTCCAGATTTTAAGTAATTTTTAAAGGACTGTTTGAGGGGTTTTGAGCAGTTGATTCAACTTAAGAAATTCTCTCTGGAGCTGCTTAAAATGAGGGTTTTTTAAAAATCACAAACAAGAGCGTATTCAGTAACTTTGTAGTTCCAAAGTAATTGCTGTCATGAAGTGGCTTCCTTAAAAACCTGTGCGGGTTTCATTCATGTTGCTGTTTTGTATTTAAAAACCAAAAGCTAAATGAAAACATCAGTTGATCATGTAGTGTATGAGATCAGTGTAGAGATTGGATTTATAAGCCTCTGTCCACAGTGGTTTTAGTGTAATACTCCTCAGCAGCTCTTAAGGTGTCTGTCAGTCATAGTAGGTTGCATGGTGTGTAACCCTCTTCGTACAGGCTGTCTGCAAGTGTAACTTTGTCATTGGGAAGTGTCAGTTTTCTCTGTATTTCTGCTGGTGAAAGAGCTGCTTACAAGAGATTCTACTTTTCTGGAACAGGGATCCAGTGGAGAACTGAAAACCATAATGATAGTCTCAAAGAAATCCCATAACACTGACCGCAGTTACTTCCCTCATGCTGGTCTGTCTTTGGTATTTTAAATCTCCAGGGTAAGACCTTAAAAATTCTGTCTTGTCTTCAGCAGATGGGAACATACTTCCTTGGAGCCCTCTGGAATGCTTCCTGCCAAGCAGGTTAGGGTTAAATCTGTTTAGATGAACATTATGGGCTCTTTCTCTTCTCAAGACTACAATATTGTCTGGATGGTGCTATTGCAGTTCTCCAGGGCATTTTATCCTTAAAATCAAGCAGGGTTCCTGCTATGTAGTGTCTTCTCTTAGTTTACTGCCACTGTAAAGGAGGAATTTGTACTCCTCCTTCCTTTCCAGCCTCATGATCCGCATTCCCACCTTGCTTCTAGCTTTTGTCCAAGTCTGCACGGGGATGATTTAGCATGTTAAGCCCATAGGGAACTGACCTGAGAAGGAAAAGTGAAAATCTTTCTTCTCAATTAGTAAATTCAGTAAGATTGCTGCATAATCGAGGGTTTTGGAGCTAGTGCAAGAAATGGCAAGGGCTGTGGAGCTGGTGTTTGGGTCCTAATGGCTGAAACCTGATTCGTACCTTCAGACTTTTCTGCATACTGTGAGTACCAGAAGCCTTGGACTAGGCAGAAGCTGAGTTATGTGGTGTGAGAAGCCCAAGAACCCGAGGTTTGGACTGCCTGTGCCAGTCTGTGGCAAGGGATTCTCCTCTGTTTGTTGTAACTCTCTCTTCTAGTAAAAATTCTGAAGTTGTTCCAAAGCCTTTGAGTGGTCCATTAACTTTCCCACTTAGATGCCTTGAGTTTCAGTGCCCAGGATATCTTCGCTTGGTTTTTGCTATTTCGAAAAAAACAAGGCTGCTAGCTTTGCTCTGTGTGGATGTTTTTGATTAAGTTTTTATCAGACCAATGTTGTCAAACCTCAGTTAAATACAGAGTTGCAGATTCAGTCAGGCTGCTCAGAAGATAGTTATTTTCCAAAAGGAAGGCAATCATTATGTTAGAAATCGAATGTTCTGGAGATTAGATAGAAAGCCTAATGTAGTACAGTCGTCATCTAATACAGAAAACATTTGAGACAGATGTCTGAGATACAGATCTTATGTGTTTATTGTATGCTCTTACACTGTGGTTGGAGGTTTTTAAGACAGAACCACACTGTTCCTCATCTTTCGCCTTCCTCTGACGGTCTTGTTCAAAAGACATGAAATCTCATGGTTTTGATCTCAAGTTATTTTTACTGGGTTAGTAAAGAGTGTGTGACAACTCATTTTGCCAGTGACGAAGGGTGAATAGCTCTTGATTATCTCTCTTACTCGCTGAGCTCTCTATATGGCTACAGAAAACATTGGTAGCTATATTTCACATGCACAAAATAAAGTACACCCTTATTGGGGGTAGGCAGTTGAAGATTAGTACTCTGAAAGTATCTGTATAGCAAGTATATATATCACTAAACAAGTCACAAAGACTGATGAAGCACCCAATCTCCAGATGATTTAGAGTATATTGAGCCTGAAGTCTTGATTTGCATAAGGATTTGAGTTTATGGGGGGTAAAAAGAAATTGGGGGCATCACCTTGCACTAATGTGTTTTCTATCACAACAAGTTCTGGAGTATTAACTCTCTTTTAGTCTTTTATGTATTATGCTGAAGTAACAGGTGACTTTGGTTTCCTTAAACAAGTAATAGCCCGGACAGTCCTGTGTTGGGAATGATCTT